AAGGTATTGATATTATTAATAGATTGAGAATGGCAACTGTGACAAGATTTTATAACATTTTTTTATTGATACAGGTCAAAAGGAAAATACTTAAAATATTCTTAGAAACTCCAAATTAATTTTTAAATAATAATAATAAATATTTACTAACAATCACGCCACGTTAACTGGTCCCGTGATAAGTTCGTAAAGAACTTGTGTTACAGGTACCAGATAACGGAAATAAATGTAAGATTTTTATTATACACATACATATATTCAATATACATCCATAACCCTGGAAAATACATTTATATTTATCATACAAATATCTTCCCTTGGCGGGATTCGAACCCGCGACCCCCTTGTGTAGTGACCATGTCACTTACCACTACACCAGACGGCCGTTTAAATTAACTTTATTATGAATAATATGTTCTGAGCTTTTAAGATCTAATGAATGTGAAGATTGAGGTCGTATTGTGAATGCAATTAGGTTTTTTTTTTAATAAGATGTAGTTTGTGATTTTGTATACATATTTTTAGGGAAGTTTTGCTTGCTTTGAACATTTGTTTTAAAAAAGCGCTTAGTCAAATTAAGATATTGGAAATATGTGTGAGTGAAATTAGAAGTTTTTTGTTCTTCTATGCCTCATTATGTTATTTTAATGATTTTTTTTTTAGAATTAATTAGAGATATATGTCAATATTTTTAGGTATTGTACCTAATATAGTATATAGTACCTAGTATTATAAAGGTGATTTTTCCAGAAGTTTGATAATTGTGTTATTTTTTATAGTTTAATTTGTACAGATGCCTATGAATGATTTGTGTAATAAATACGTAGGAATTTTAGGTTAAATTTTAATTAAAACCTAACACATACGAAACTATTTTCTAATTGGCAATGTTAGTTTTCTTAATACATTTATTGTTTGTAGCCAGTTTAATACTTAAATTTGATGGAAATTAAATGTTTAATGATGTGTGTTGTTTTATTCTCATTTTTTATTGCCCTCTAAGACGCTGCTTACCGTTAAGTACTCGATTTTTTTTTATAGTTTAGATGGGTGGACGAGCTCACAGCCCACCTGGTGTTAAGTGGTTACTGGAGTCCATAGACATCTGCAACGTAAATTCGCCATCCACCTTAGTTCTAAGGTCTCAGTATAGTTACAACGACCGCCCCACCTTTCAAACCGAAACACATTATTCCTTCACGGCAGAAATAGGCAGGGTGGTGGTACCTACCCGTGTGGACTCACAAGAGATCCTACTACCAGTAATTACGCAAATTATAATTTTGCGGGTTTGATTTTCATTACACGATGTTATTCCTTCACCGTGGAAGTCAATCGTGAACATTTGTTGAGTACGTATTTCATTACAAAGATTGGTACCCGCCTGCGGGATTCGAACACCGGTGCATCGCTAGATACGAATGCACCGGACGTTTTATCCTTTAGGCCACGACGACTTGAATATTGATAAAGCGATAGCTCGCATGGCTTCGAATTACCTCTTAGTCGAAGCCTGCGTTAACGTTCGTATCGGCTCTCCTACTAAACTTAAACCGCGTATCAAGAATCGATGACACTACAACGAATTGTTACTTGACCTTAATATATTGACCAAGACAACCAGAATAAACACAATACCTATTTAAAATTATAGCAGAAGTAGGCTTAATATACTAATAGTACTTTTTATCTGGTACTTTTTCACTGGTGGTAGGACCTCTTGTGAGTCCGCACGGGTAGGTACCACCGCCCTGCCTATTTCTGCCGTGAAGTAGTAATGCGTTTCGGTCTGAAGGGTGGGGTAGCCGTTGTAACTATACTTGAGACCTTAGAACTATATCTCAAGGTGTGTGGCGCATTTACGTTGTAGATGTCTATGGGCTCCAGTAACCGCTTAACATCAGGTGGACTGCGAGCTCGTCCACACATCTAAATAATAAAAATAAACAACACGTGGGGATGGCTTGAGATATTGCCGTTTCAATAAAAACAAATCTTATAAATAGCCATTATTTATTTATGAATAAAAAACATTACTTATGTAACTATTGAATTTAAAAAAAAACAAAAAACGTGCTTTTAACAAACTCAACGTGTTCTTATAAAATAATAAATAGCTTATTACATAATCGCATGCAATCTCCATTTTAACGAAAACAAATTTCATTCGGTTACATTACGAGTTAACATAATAATGAGACTAAGAAGCCGTCTTCGGCTATCACTCTCCCTAGACAATCCCGAGAATGCACACCACAGCGGTCCATGGACGTCAGCAACGCCCTGCCTATTTACGAACTTTTTTGTGCCGCACATATTGAGGTATATCTGAAAAGTTTATAACACCAATAACGCCAATATTCCGTGGAGAATAGATAAGAGATATTTCTGAAAATATGCAGCCGGGATAAAAAAGCAGGCTCATTATACAATAGAATACAAATCCAAGAATTTCTTACGTTATGCTGAATAATTTATTGCGATTTTTAACAAAACAGGTAAGTGTGCTATATCTCTGCCCGATGAGATATAGTACCTACCTACATTTTAGACTAAATAAATTGGATTTATATTGCTCACGCTGATAGAGAACGAAACGGTGTACCGTCACCAAAACAAAGTATATTGACAGCCATGAGCACTCCTGAACATTAAGCACATATTCACGTAACGTTAAGTGCGGTACGATAATGACGCCTAGACCTCATGCCTCAAGGGTTCTCATTGAGATGTCTATGAACTCCGATAGCCACTTATAATCGGAAGGACCGCGAACTTGTCCGCAGCGGACCAATAAAAATTAAGTTAACTTGTTACGGAACTAAAATTATTATCATTAATAACATTTTCATCAGATAACAATGTACTTATTATTACATATATATATATATATNTAAAAATTAAGTTAACTTGTAATGGAACTAAAATTATTATCATTAATAACATTTTCATCAGATAACAATGTACTTATTACTACATATATATATATAAACAATGCTATAAACAAAATACGTATATCTTAAGTTCTAATCTCACTTTCATCTAAACATTTACAGTCTTTGATATTATATAAATAATGTGCGCTTAAAATAACTTCAGAATAAGTTTAAGGACGCAAAATATTCTCATTAATAAATATTTATTATAAAAGCTAAATTATAACTTTAATATTGAATTCAAAACGAAACAAAATTATTTATGATATAAATAGAAAATGAATAATGTCATTAATAAATTTAAATGCATTAATATAATTAATTGGAAACAGATTAATTTTTTTGGCACTGCTGTTTGAAAAGATACATTTCTTTTGCACACCACCAAAAAAACTATGGCTTTCAAAATGTTAAAATTACAATTATCGTAGTATAGAATATTATTATAATACTTAAAAGACGCGTAACAAGATACTTTATGAACGTGGACAAAATTGAAAATAAGCTTCGCAGTCTTATGAAATGTCCTTGCGAACAAAGTCGGTAAGTACTGGGTGTTAGGAGACAGCCTCCGAAAACGAAGACAGTCGATAGTACTAATGACACCTTTGATGATGGGACGGAAAAAAAATACTCTTCGTATATACTGTGTTACTTTGTATTCATGATTTGCTATGTATATGTGCATTACAATAATTCTCATGTTGTATTTGTTATTTTAACTGTTCTACACACGCTCATCACTTTTAATTATTATTCTCATGATCCTCTCGCAGGTCTGCTGGAAGAGATTTCTTAAAGAAATAAGCAGTGCCTTTGTACATAATTTTCCTATTACTCTGTACTATGTCTTCTTTCTTGTGTGTATATAAATAAATAAGATTCTGAATAATAAAAAAAAACGTTTTATTAGCATTATTTACATCCCAACATGTTAGTACAGCTAAATGAAACAATAGATTCATAACAAAAAAACATTACCTTACTAAAAAAAAACCAGCAATGAAACACAAAATCAAAAACAGCTGATGCTCGGGGTCAACGAACGCGCGATCGCACAAATACTTATTTACAACATTTGTCTAAATAACTCAATCATCAAAGGTGTCATTAGTAATAGCGTCTTTTATCTTTTTCGGAAAAGGTCTCTTAACACCCAGTATATTAGGTAGAGGTCATGCAAAAATTTATTTAATTAATTAAAATACTAATTTTGAATACTAAATTATAAGTAGTGGCGTTTAAGGCGTTACCCTCTTAAATAAGTAAGGCTTAAGGCTTTTGTTTAAATTCAAACATAGTAACTATACTATAAAAGTCGCCTGTAAATATGTTTGTATTAATTGACTTGTAGAATAACACAAAGGTCGTCCAACATTCATAAAGAGACTTGACGAATACAATAATAATATTAATTACGGCCACTTCTAAAGAGATTCTGTGACGTTTTGTGACGTCACAATAATAGAATGTGAATTAAAAAAAAAAAGAAGCTAACATTCAAATTAGCCGGGCAAATTGAATTATTAATCGATTCTAAAATATAATCGATTTGAAAATAAAATCGATTTTATATTTTATACGCTATATACTCTATAATAGAACTATTATTATGCACCAATAATATTGCTTTCGCCTTTATTCGCGTAGAAGCAAAGCTCGGAAGTACATTCGTCATATTTTGTTATATTTAACCTTTTTTTTACCTTTCGTGTATTTAACGGCTTCATTTTACCAAATCTCAACGCTCTAAAGCCAAATATATATTTATTTTATCAGCTCGATGCTAAGTGAATTTTATCTATTTTGAATTATAATTAAAAATAATCAGTCTAATTCCAGGGTTTGATTACTTCGATTGGAAATTTCGAATGTAACGAAGTTTTCTTTTTGCTTAGTTGGGTGGACGAGAGCACAGCCCACCTGGTGTTAAGTGGTTACTGGAGCCCATAGATATCTACAACGTAAATGCGCCACCCATTTTGAGATATAAGTTCTAAGGTCTCAAGTATAGTTACAACGGCTGCCCCACCCTACAAAACGAAACGCATTACTGCTTCACGGCAGAAACAGGCAGGGCGGTGGTACCTACCCGCGCGGACTCACAAGAGGTCCTACCACCAGTAAATTTTGATTTCGTTATTAAAATCGCGCGTGTAGAACGCACAGTAGAAAATCAATTCCCGTTCGATATTTTCCTTGAGAATGTATTCATAGCGTCTTCTTTGTTCAGCATCCCGTCTAGCTTCATCTGTTCGAGCTGAAGCTGACGCCTGATGGAGCCTAGCTGCGTCAGGATGCTGATGTTCCTCCCATCACCCTTCGACAAGGACTTCAGTACATTAGTCTGCGAGACAGGCACTTGCCATTTAGCTTCAACTTTCTTCATGGCATCGCTCAAATTGTTGTTGCTCTCGTTTGAATCGTAACTCTTAGGGACGTGCCTCAAAACCGGTATCGGTAAATCGATACTCGAACCATTATCGGTTTTGTTGTGTTGCGTTTGCTTTTTATATGACGTGTTCTTGTGTATTAATATCTCTTGAGGATCTCTCGCGTTTTCGTGGTGAATTCGATTCAAATCGATTTTACTCTTATTCGATGTTGACGCAAAATCGATATTGTATCGATTCGATTTTCGATTCGTATCGAATTCGGCAACCTCTCTGATCGCCTGCCCGTAGTCAACAGTGGGTTCTTTGGGAGATCCTCGACTGAAATTGTCGTTAAAATTCAAATTACGCCTCAAATACGCGTCCACGTCGTAGTCTGGTGAAAAAATCGAATTCGCCGGTATATTAGTAGAGTAGGGCTTCTTCTCGGCGGGACACACAGATCTAGTTGGCGGATCGCTTCTAGATGTGACAGCATTTCTTTTAATGTCCGTTCTCGTTCTAGCGACGAACAGATTATGCTTCTCTATATCTATGTCGTTCTGTAGATCCGTTATTTTTCTGTGGTATTCGTCGGTGTTCTGTTTTGCCTAAAAACCGGGAAAATTTTAATTATTAATTAGCTTTCTAAGTAACATTATATTAATGGTTTATTCAAATCAGTATAAGATATTAGTTTGATGAGTGAACGTATTCACCTATTATTATGCTTTTAAATACTTTAAAACCGCGATATGCTTCGTGATACAAAGTGGCTGGGCAGTATTCTAAATATGTCCTACCACAAATAATGTTTGATTCTAGTGATTGTAAAGATTACAAACATAAGGTCCAAAGATCTCGACTATTACATTAGATAAATTATTATTACAATGAATTTTGACTTCAAGATCGATACCTCTGTAATACGTTGTGACTCTAATTAAAATTGTTTTTACAGTTTAATTTTGTCCTTTTTTCTTGTTGTCATTGTATGATTTCCAACAATTCGAATACATTACATTTAAAACCCTAGTTTTACTTATGTGGATGATTCGTGTTATGAACGATTTTATAAGCAATTCATAATATTCAATTTAACACTACAAGTGGTAGGACCTCTTTTGAGTCCGCGCCTGAGGTACCACCACCCCTACCTATTTCTGCCGTAAAGCAGTAATGCTTTTCGTTTTGAAGGGTGGGGCAGCCGTTGTAACTATACTGAGATCTTAGAACTCATATCTCGAGGGGGGTGGCGCATTTACGCTGTAGCTGTCTATGGGTTCCAATAACCACTCAACACCGGGTGGGCTGTGATATTGATATTGAATCTCGCATATCTTCTTGCGGGTGTTATTTCTAATTCAAATTTTTTTTGTAATAATTATTATTATATTACGTTGTATATTAATTGTATGTATATTACGGATATATGTCTGTATGTATATTTCAATTGATTGGCACACCGCGTGTAATTCGTTTCCAAATGATTCTTGTCCACCTGATGGTTGTCTGCAAGAGATCGCTCTTAGCGATAAGACCGCCAATTGTACATTTTTGTATTTAATATATCGCACTGTTTATTTGTTTTTGATGTACAATAAAGAATAATCTCTCTCTATCTCTCTTTCACTCTCTCTATCTCTCTCTTTCTCTCCTCTCTCTCTCTCTTGCTGATGTGTAAGTATAGAGTTGAGGATGTACTGACGGCGGCGGCGGCCCGCAGCGCGCCCAGCTGCTCCTCCAGACGACGCAGCTCGGCTTGCTCCAACAACCTGCCACCAGAACAACTCTTGTATTAACATTTTTTTATTCCTACCTGAGCTGGTAGCCTTGAGAGGCTATATCAGCGTAAGTGAGCTTACGGGGCTCAAATCTGATGATGTTGCTAACACGAACCCTAGCAAGAGCCGTGCTTCGCAGAATCTACCACCGGGTCGGAAACGCGACCCACTGAGAAGATCCGACGAAAAACTCACTGGGCTGTGTCTGAGGGTTAATTTACTCGTCGAGCCCTTCGTCGCAAGCGACGGGTTCGGCGAGAACGATGATGGGTGCTTGTGGTACCTAAAAGCATAGTTCGTGGATCGGGAGGAGGTGTATTAACAATATATATAACTAGCCGTACTCGCCCGCTGCGCTGGGCATTTAAAATTAACATTATTATTTATTGTCATTATTATTAGGGAGTCCTTCACTCATATAAACATTAGCCTATCCATTAAGTACATGTATTTTCTACATGGATACCAAGTTTCAAGTCAATCGGATGCACGGTTCAGTAGTTATAACGGAACATCCGTAAAAACCACTGTAGATTTATATATTAGTATAAATACTGGGTATTAGGAGACCGCTTCCGAAAACTAAGACAGACGATATTTCTAATCACAATTTTGATGATGGGACGGAAGAAAAATCATATTTTTAAAACGTTTTCATAGACATCACATCAAGATAGCGCACCCGCCGAAAGACATGTGGGATGAGACATGAGGTCTACGGCCGTAATGCCCAAATGCTTTTCGGCAAAGACACTACAACTTATTTAAAAAAAAAATATATACTTTTCTCTGATTTTCCTCTCCTCCTTGATCCTCTGCTGCTCTTGTATCTGACGCTTCAGCTCCAGCCGGTAGCGCTGCCGACGCGCCTCCGCTTCCTGCAGCCAAGAGTACAACCTCTCAGACAAGTAGGAAATGTTAGCTTAGTTAATTAGTTATCTCGCAATTTCAACCGCTTGGTGAAAGAACTGCCCTTTGTCCCCAAATATTAGTTTCTACGTAATTCTTATCCTAATCAATCTTGCCCACTGGCTTTCTCGCCGGATCTTCTCAGTGGGTCGCAATTCCGATCCGGTGATAAATACTCGTGGCGAAGCTTGGGGGAGGCCTATGTCCAGCAGTGGGCGTCTATGGGCTCATAAGAAGAAGAAGGCAAATACAGCGAAGCACTGCTCTTGCTAGGGCTAGTGTTAGCTAATTCATTTAACTTGAGCCCGTGAGCTCACCTACCCGACCACGCGTAATGGAATAGCCCGTTATGCTACCAGTGAATAGATAGGGACAAAAATCAATCGTGAATCATCAGGCGTTATTCTACTCTCCTCTTATTTACAGTACGTTCGATACACCTATTTCATATCTCAAAGTGAGCATCCGTATTCGCTCGATAGCAGAAGCCGATAACATAATTTAACCAAAAATATAAAAGCCGTTGTAGCCCAGCGTAAAACTTAACACATCGTCGCTGATACACGGTTTTACGCGTCATTATAAATCACCTATATATTAATACGTGACGCAAAAAAAAATTGTAGCCCTTTTTAACGAAAATTGCGCGGACGGAGGAGTATGAAATTTTCCACACTTATAGAGAATATAGAGGAGTGTAGAATGCTAATTTTTTTTTTAATTGTGTATAAAAAATACATTAAATCAATAGACAAAAACATTGCACACACTGAATACTATTTGTTTACTGTCAAACTTTACTTATTGCTTATTGTCTGTGGTCAAATTGGGAATAGATTAAATATTGCATCATTTAGTTTTCGCGAGTGATATGTGCGATATTTTACCTAATAATGTCTCCCGCTGCTTGGACGAACTCACAAACAACCCAAAGTGCTTCGTACTCTTATACAAATTCCATAAAACACAGTTATTTCAATATAAAAAATGTAAAATGAAGTGACGAAGAAACAGAAATACTGATTTGGCTTAAAGGACATTGTTTCCAAGCCAGTAAAATTAATTAAAAAAAAATGTGATTAAATATTGTTTGTCTTTATTAATATTTGTCTAAAGTGTAGTTTTGGTGAAATCTGTGACTATAGAAGCATAATAGTCTTTGACAATAGAATCATAATAGTTTACAAACTTATAATTTCAACTAATTATAGTCGAATTTCGACTACCGGGGGACCATTAGTAAGTTGAACTATGTCAAAATGTCTGCGTGGAAAAGTGTCAGAGTCGCTACACTTCCCCATCGGTCCCGGGACCGCGCCGGACAACTGTGACGTGACGTCACTTTAAAAATCAATTTGTCACCTTCTCGGCTTGCGCGTTCCTCAGCTGTATCGCGTCCGCGTCGAGTATGGACGGCGTGCGGTGCTGTCCGGGGGCTCGTTCAGCGCGGTTCGATTTCACGCACTCCTCTGAAAATCAACAATAATCTTATATATATAAAAATGAATTGCTGTTCGTTAGTCTTGCTAAAACTCGAGAACGGCTGGACCGATTTGGCTAATTTTGGTCTTGAATTATTTGTGGAAGTGCAGAGAAGGTTTAAAAGGTAGATAAATATGAAAATGCTCGGAATGAAATAAAAATAACAATTTTGTTTCTCCTTTGATGTGTCTCCCGTCAGACGGATTCCATTTGTTTGTTTTAAGTTTATTTTATATTAAAAGTTTAGGTCTTTTATTTATTCATTGAGGTACTACGAAGTCTGCCGGGTCAGCTAGTTCTCTATAAAAATTTCTATCAGTTTAACATTCCATATTCGTGTTCCCAGACCAAGTGTGCTTAGTGCGAGTTTTTTAACGTTCTCGATAGCGGAAAAGTTAACTCGAATTTGTATGTAGTTGGAACGTTTGCGTACGTTTGCCGCTAGGGGCGCTGTTCCAACTGCATAATTCGAGTTAACTTTTACGCTATCGAGAACGTTAAAAAACTCGCACTAAGCACACTGGTGGTTAGCTATAAATTCCGCATCGGAGTGCGGTACAAAACCAACATACCGTCGCTGTCAAACCAAAATCTGCTATGTGCAAAAACTCTATTTTGAATTAACGAGTAAAAATATTTTCGTATAAAATTTTATATGAAGGTGAATTTTTAAGAACTATATCAAATGAAAGCTATAGATAAATATTAAAGCTATAGACACATAACAGTTTTTTTTAAACTTTAGATAGGGCTGTGAACTATACGAAAAGGTCAAAAAGTAAAAATCTCAGAAAGTGCACATAGCAGATTTTGGTTTGACAACGACGATACACAAAATACAACAACTTTATTTTGTATAGAGTTAGAACAGCGCCCCTAGCGGCAAACATAAGGAACCTGTTCTAACTCCGCACAGGAGATCTTGGCGCGGAACTGGTACTGACGGGTCGTTGAACTATTATATAGATTTGTTTTACCGTCACAGTCCCCGGGGCTGGGGGGGGCGGGCCAGGGGGACGCGCGGGGGGCGGGGCCGCGCGCCGTGCGGGGGGACAGCTCCCTCTCCGCCTCCGTCAGCTGACATCCCGATAGCTACAACGAAAAATTTCATTAATAACCAGCGAAATCCAAACGTTTGTTACAATCGCATTGGTGTTGGGGTAGGTACCACCACCCTGTCTATTTCTGCCGTGAAGCAGTATGCGTTTCGGTTTGAAGGGTGGGGCAGCTGTTGTGACTATACTGAGGCCTTATAACTTATATCTTAAGGTGGGTCTTTACGTAGTTAATATCTATGGACTAACCATGGGCTATAGGTAGATGGACTAAGCTGATGTTCTAGAGAGACTATGTCAGCGTCGCCCGGCTATTAGGTGAGCTCACGGGGCTCAAACCTGATGACGTTGCTAACACGACCCCTAGCAAGAGCCGTGCTTCGCAGAATCTACCACCGGATCAGAAACGCGACCCACTGAGAAGATCCGGCGAGAAACTCAGTGGGCTGTGTCTTTGGGTTAGTTTACTCGCCGAGACCTTCGTCGCAAGCGACGGGTTGGACGAGAACGATGACCGGTGCTTGAGGTACCTAAAAGCACCGTTAGTGGATCGGGAACCGTAGGCACGCTACACACTCTGACACACATAAGCATATTCCTCCGGGTCACTATTCTCGTCCAACTCTTCAAAAGAGTCGAAGCAGCCTAGCGCATAGACTCAACCTACTATCCAATCCAATTTACCAGTTAACGTGGCGTGATTGTTAGTAAATATTTATTTATTATGAAAAAAAAAAACCCGATTTTTTTTATCACAAAAAAAGACGCCCACTGAGTTTCTTGCCAGTTCTTCTCAAGACGGAGGCTAGTTTTTGTGAATTGGCGGTAGTTCTTTTTGACGTTCAACAAGTATGTACTTTGATTTATGTTGAATTTTTTTTTTACTTTTTATTTGATCCGGTGGTAAGCTCAGCTCTGCTCTTGCTAGAGTGGATGTTAGCAACTTCTCGAGCTGAGATCTGAAGCCGGAGCAATTTTAATTAGACCCTTAGTAAAAACTCACCCGACACAGCTCCGCGCTGTCGGTCTGCACGGCCACCGATAACGGCTCCGCAGCCCCGGCCTCCGCCCTCCTGACGGGTGACATAACATCAAGCGTCAATTAGTATGAGACGCGTACAGTACCCGCCGATAAATATCGCACATCGACTCGTAAAGAGAGCACGAAACACCGACGAGCTTGACATCGGCAGGTGTGAGAGAGATAGCGCTCTACGAAGCCGAAATTAGCCGATCGTCTCTTCTCATAAAGTCGATGTGCAATATCTATCGACGGGCATTGTATTTTGTTCATTCTGGAATTGACTTAAATACTAAAATTACACAAAAAAATTTAGGTTATTCTAAATAATTTATTTTAAGAAAGAATACAAAAAACACTGTGATATTTTCTTCAGAGGCCAGATAGTCTTGGAGGTGGAGGTAGAGGTTGAGGTGGAGATGGAGGTGGAGGCCATTGGAGGACATTTCTTTGGACAGTTTGGGATGTCACAGCGAAATAAAATAATATACTCACGTATTACAATTAACATTTTTGGGGACGGCATTAACGCTCGCTCTACGTTTAGGGCTGTTCTCCCTCTCTATCTCTAGTCGCAGTCTTTCTTTCTCTTCTCGCTCTCTGTCCTTCTCCTCTCGCTCGCGGCGTTCCCTCTCCGCTTGCTCTTTGGCTTCTTTTTTCTTTTTGGCTTGCTGACGTCACGGTAAAGAGACTTAATTTAATTATTATATTTAAATATCGACTTTAATCAGTAGGGAATTCTATGTGGTACATGTATAGAAATGACTTGATAATTTTATGAAGTTTCCTCAACTCCCAACTAGGGTCTCTAGATAAATAGAGTCAATGATAGACGTTAAGTCGGTTTGCGCCTTACGCCAGTACAAGGTTGAAGCGAGTCGAATACCTTCGCTATGCAACTGTATGACGAGACCCGCGCGGGTAGTTTTTTTTATTATTGCTTAGACGGGTGGACGAGCTCACAGCCCACCTGGTGTTAAGTGGTTACTGGAGCCCATAGAAATCTACAACGTAAATACCGCCACCCACCTTGAGATATGAGTTGTAAGGTCTCAGTTTTTACAGTACAACGGCTGCCCCACTCTTCAAACTGAAACGCATTACTGTTTCACGGCAGAAATAGGCGGGATGGTGGTACCTATCCGTGCGGATTCACAAGACGTCCTACCACCAGTAATTACGCAAATTATAGTTAGCTAGCTCCCTGATCCCTGAAAACCGAGAATTCGGCCTCATCTCTTGACAGTGGCGACACACGCTCCGTGAGAGCTAGGGACGCGAATACGATTATCGATAATACTAAAAACCGATTACGTCATAAAAATATAAACGAGATACCTCATCGAGATATTCCCGGTACTGCTGCTGGCGTATCTTCCGGAGCGTGTTCCTCCGACGCTCGTACTCGCCGAGGCCGAGCAGGGCGTCCCCGGAGTGCCTCTCGGCCCGGATCAGAGGATTATTTGGGGAGTACTCGCCGGCTTTTAGCATCACCGGTAGACCGAGGTAACGCTGGAAAACCAGGAGCTTACGTTGTTAAAAGCTGAACACATCACTAATAGCAAACACAAGGAACAAGTAGTCATTAGGTACTGTTGTCCTAAGGTGACGATAAATCATCATTTTCCTGCCCTTCTCCCAGTCACCTGGGGTCGGCGCAACGTGTTTTCTCCTTCCATACTCGGCATGCTCCTCTATTATATACCATGTGGGCGAGATGAATATAGCGTAATTCTTTATTTTACTTCACAATCACTTCGTACACGTCTTTCTAAAACTTTTCTTTTTTCTTCCTACCCTCTCTAACCTTAAACTGCTATCTCTTTCTGAATCTGAATTCTAATAGAATGTTGCCATTGCAACAAGCACAAAATAAATATCCAAAAAAAAAAAAAAACCTAACAAAAATAACACTCCCCACATACCATTTCCTCACTCACTTCCACTATATATATATACTCTTTGTTTATTGTCAACCTTTTGTTACTATTTACAGCCCTTAATCAAATTGAGAATAGATTAATATTATTTGTCTATCGTTTAATCTTGGCGATATCTGCGATTATGAAAGTATAATAAATAATCTTTGACAAATAGAACCATAATAATGTTCAAGCATATAATTTCAATTAGTTATAGTCGAATTTCGACTACTTATTTTTCTACAGGAGAAAATAGCCCGATCCCTACCTGCACGGCGGGCGGGATATGTGGGAGTTTGTTCGTGTTGGACGTTTCAGTCATTTTTATATTTTAACTAGCTGACCCGGCAGACTTCGTAGTGCCTCAATCGATAAATAAATGACCTAAACTTTATTTAATTCCGAGCATTTTCATATTTATCTACCTTTTAAACCTTCTCTGGACTTCGACAAATAATTCAATACCGAAATTAGCCAAATCGGTCCAGCTGTTCTCGAGTTTTAGCGAGATTAACGAACAGCAATTCATTTTTATATATAGATAAACAAAGATAATAACTATGTTTTATTACTTAGATCCACGTCATCTCGGATCCTCCCGATCCACTAACGGTGCTTTTAGGTACTTCAAGCACCGGTCACCGTTCTCGTCGAACCCGTCGCTTGCGACGAAGGGCTCGACGAGTAAATTAACTCTTAGACACAGCCCACTGAGTTTCTCGCCGGATCTTCTCAGTGGGTCGCGTTTCCGATCCGGTGGTAAATTCTGCGAAGCACGGCTCTTGCTAGGGTTCGTGTTAGCATCGTCATCAGGTTTAAGCCCCGTGAGCTCACCTACTAGCCACGGTTACGCTGAAATAGCCCCTAAGGCTATCAGCTTAGGTAGGAAAAAAAAAAAACTTAGATCACACATTTGATCCTTCTTCAGCGTCCATCCTGAATGTTACATTGATTTCAGCGGTGCCAGTGTACTATAAACAGAGTTGAACCTCACTAAAAACTCCTGCCGCCCACAGCCGGCGCCCTACCCCGGACCGGGCTGAAACCTAGTGGGAGTTATTGAGACGGCGGGACAGTGTTTACGCAGAGCATATTACATCCATCTAGTAAAACATAATTGTTCAATGTTTGCATGACTCGAAACATTCGATCGCATGCTTCGTAATGTCTCAATTAATTATGTTGTCATTGTAACGCGATAATTTCTAATTTGTTAGTTGTTAACGTACGCGTCGGTGCGTTGAAAAGCGCGTGTTTCGTTTCTAGTTATACATCTCAACTAATATTCTGATCAGAGGATGTTATGCGTAATGATTTTGTATTCTGTGTTCACTATCCGTAAGGCTGGTTGTTGAATGTTTTTTTTTTATAATTGCATTCGACTTGGCCCGCCAGACGTTTCATGGATAATAGCATGGTGGTACCTACCCGTGCGGACTGACAAGAGGTCCTACCACCAGTAATTACGCAAATTATAATTTTGCGGGTTTGATTTTTATTACACGATGTTATTCCTTCACCGTGGAAGTCAATCGTGAACATTTAATGAAAATATAATGATTTAACTGCACAAGACCGATTTACAAACTCCCGGGACATTAGAAGTTTTAGCGTGTAAGCAATCAAAAAACTAATTTCAAAGTTAGCGAACTAAACACGCAAACCGTTTTGGTTAAGCTAGCGTGAGAGGGTTTCCCTTTGCACGAAGACATTAAAGTAGAACGAAAAAAAAAAAGAAAAAAAAAAGCTTGTTCCAGTTAGATACTTTTTTTTTTTAAATAGCTCGCAAGGACATCGCCGTCGCGTCTGCTTCTACCGCGAACCGACCTCAATGTGGGACAGCTCCTTTATCCGATACAGCTTCGGTTTCAACGTAATGTCTCAAAGAGGATGACGGAATTAATGTTGTGACGTCATTGTGCTCCTGTACCAACCAGAGCAACCATGTTCAATCAAGGGCAAAAGTTTTGGAAGCATAAGATCGGATGTCCAAATTGATTCGAATTAAACATTCCTAATTTATATGGTTCTTATCTTGAGCATTAATTTTACTATAATATTATTTTATTATTGACAATTTTTTTTAAATATTTTTTAACATTTCGAATACTCCACAGTTTTCGTGGTCACGGATGATAGAGCTGTTTTTCTTTGTTCATTTTAATAGAATATGTGTGTATTTAATATAGTGTTAATATAGTAAATAAAATAAAATACTTTTTTATTACCTATGTTGATAGCCTTGAAAGGCTATTTCAGCTTCTTGAGTCGTAGGTGAGCTCACGGGGCTCAAACCGGAGTATTGCTAACACTGGCCCTAGCAAGAGTAGTGCTTCGCAGAATCTACCATCGGATCCGAAACGCGACCCACTAAGAAGATCCGGCTAGAATCTAAGTAGGCTCTGTCAATGGGTTAATTCACTTGTCGAGCCCTTCAAGCAAGCGAAGGGTTCGACGAGGACGGTGACCGGTGCTTGAGGTACCTAAAAGCACCGTTAATGGATCGGGAGGATCCGTAATGACGTGTTTAGGCCTTAGGGCAACGTCGACTGTTTACCATTCGGTCTACAGGATCGGGTATGAAATAAAATACGTTTTACATTCCTTTGCACACAAAACTACATACATAATCAATACGTTACGTCAACTATGTATAACAATAGACAATGGGAACGTTGTTCATGATATAAAAAACGTAGATAAAAAACACTGTCATTGGAATAACCGACAACTCGATCGCTGCCAACGAAAATCTATTAATAAAAACGAGTGGTCTCGCAGTAGTCGAAATTCGACTATAATTGATTGTTATTATAAGTTTGAACATTATTAAGGTTCTATTATCAAAGACTATCATACTTCTATAAAATCACAGATTTCGCCAAGACTATACTTTAGATAAATAATATTAAATAAATAAACAATATTAACCTATTCTCAATTTTTTTTTTATTGCCTTTGTAGGCAAACGAGCATACGGCCCACCTGATAATGAGTGGTTACCGTCGCCCATGGACTTCAGCAATGCCAGGGGCAGAGCCAAGCCGCTGCCTACCCCAAAATTCAATTTGACCACCGACTTTAAACAATAACAAAAGTTTGACAATAAACAAAGATTAAGTATACCTATGTGTATTTGTCAAATACATGGTAGAGTGCATAATGTTTTTTTTTATTGATTAAATGTATATTTACACAAAATTTAAAAAAATATTAGCATATGCACTCCTTCTCTATATCTTATACTAATATATAAATCTACAGTGGTTTTTACGGATGTTCCGTTATATGAATCATGCATGAATACTGAATCATGCATCCGATTGACTTGAAACTTGGTATCCATGTAGAAAATACATGTACTTAATGGATAGGCTAATATTTATATGAGGTTTGGATTCCCTACACCAGTTGCGGGGGCGTCAATGATGAGAATGTTTGTGGGGGTGAGAAATAATAATGTTAATTTTAAATGCCCAGCGAAGCGGACGGGTACAGTTATAAGTGTTCGAAATTTCATAGTCCTCCGTCTGCGCAATTTTCGTGAAAAGAGGTACAAAGTATTTGCTTCACGTATTAATATAAATAAATATCGCATGATACCGCCAGACATTCCTCCCCGTTTTAATTTCTGAACAGATCAATATTCGGGATATACGAAATACCCACCCCGCAGAACTTTGACCTCGTATAGCTATCAAAAACTAATTTGTGTAATGTTTTTTTTTTTGTCAGTTAGGAGCGGCTTCGGGACCGCTCCTAAGTGACGTCATCGTTTGCCTTTCACCATATTATTATTGTCTTGTGTTTATTTTTATACTCATTACATTAATGTGTGTGTGTGTATGTGTATATAATATATTTCAATTGATTGGTACACAAGTTCATTGCGGGAATCAAGATAAAATGGCTTGTCCTTCGGATTACATGTACCTACCTCATCGTCTGGACACAATGTGATCGTCGCGATAGATCTTGGCAACACAGGAATTATTATTAGAGTAGATAAATAATACCCAACTACTTACTTTAAAAAAAAGGATACATTTTTTGCTTACATATCACTGGTAATCTCAAGGGGTTACTAAGCTTTTTTTATTTATTGCTTACATGGGTGGACGAGCTCACAGCCCGTCTGGTGTTAAGTGGTTACTGGAGCTCATAGACATCCAGAACATAAATGCGCCACCCATCTTGAGATATAAGTTCTAAGGTCTCAAGTATAGTTACAACGGCTGCCCCACCCTCCGATCCGAAACGCATTTCTGCTTCACGGCAAAAATAGGCAGGGTGGTGGTACCCACCCGCGCGGACTCACAAGATGTCCTACAACCAGTAAGCTAACTTCACTGAATGCTTACAGTGAAGTTAGCTTGAGGCTGAGCCTGGGAGACTTTGCTAACTGCCCTAACAAGAGCAGTGCTCCGCTGAATCTACTACCGGATCGGAACCGCGACCCACTGAGAAGATCCGTCGAGAACTATGTCTACGTCTGTGGGTTAAACTGCATAATGAACCCTTCCTCGCCTTCAATAGTTTTGGCGGTAACGGTGTCGTGCTTAAAATACCTAAAAGCACCGTAATTGGTGC